AAAGAAGTTTGGGGGCTCACCAAGAGAGCACAGCTGCAGAGGGGAACCTCAGAGAAAGAAATCCAGGTGTTCAGAATTGCCTTGGGAGTGGAAAGAGTGAGAGATGAAGAGGTCATGGCTGATTGGGTTTTTAGATGAGGGGGGCAGTCGAGAGGAAACAGGAGAAAGGTAGAGAGAGGGGAGCAGGGTAGGAATGTAGGTGAGGGAACATGTGGAACCTAAGGGACAGGAATTTGGCAGGGAATTTAGCGACAAGGAAGGGATATAGGGAGAACAAAGGTTCAGGGAAACATTACCTGATGGAAGGAGGATGCGGAAAGTAGGGATGGGGATGGGAAGGGGAGGTTTATCTGTTGAGAAGAGTGGAGGCAGGAAGAAAGAGGAAATGATGTGGAGAAGGGCAGTGAGGCAAGTGGGGCAGAGGAGGAGAGCAAAGGGAGGCAGAAAGATTAGTGAGACAAGCACAGTGCTTAGTCAAGTGTGTGAGAAAAGTATTCTGATATTTTCTTTACATAAGGCGACCAGACTCTTTTGCCACAAGTTGACAGTCTCAGGCTACAGAAGGGACTGAGCTTTAGGGTGACCAGATGTCCCGATTTTATAGGGACAGTCACGATTTTTGGGTCTTTTTCTTATATAGGTTCCTATTACCCCCCACCCCCCGTCCTGATTTTTCACACTTCCTGTCTGGTCACCCTACTGAGCTTGTACAAACAATAGCCATAGTGTGGTGCTCTGGATTGAGGCTCGGGAGGTTTGTAGGTGAAGAAATACAGGCTCTGATTCTTGCCTTGCGTAATTGGTTGCACATGGCATCTTAATGTAACCCAGAAGATAATGGCCCCTTGAACTGTGAACTGGCTCATCAGGAATTTGTAAAGCAAGTCTTTTCCTGTAGCTGTAAAGGCGGCTAGAATTTGCATGACAACTGTACAGTTAAGAGGAAAGCATTCTAAGATGTTTGATGACTGGTAAGATTAGACTGTTCATTGGGATAAGGTTGTCAGAGTTACCGCCCTCAAAGAATCAACACAGGGTCCGAATAAAGGTTATTCAGGTGCCCTAACTGTATTTCCATACCAAACATTTTGGTTTCTTTTCCAACTTCACTGTAATGATGAATTTCCTGGCTCTCTCATTTCTTTTAAAAACAAACATTGTGCTAGGGTAACTTTACTCTCAAGTTGCTGAGATGTACATTCTACCTTCACATGGAGTTATCTGGATTTTTTCTTTTTTAATTTTATTAAAAAAAATACATTGAAGCTACAAAGGGGTGTGCCTAAATGTAAGAGATAAGAATATTTAACCAATCTGATTTCCATACATACTTACATACTCCAGGTTTCCAAATCCACGTAAATAAGTGATTTTTTCAATTAGTGAGTAGACTCAGGAAGTATCTTGTATAGTCATGTTTAGTTTTGCTTTTGAAAAGTTTTGAGAAGCTGAAGGGATGGGATTTGGGTAAGGAAAGCACCAAGGTAGCAGGAGGATAAGTGGGATTGCCTCCTGCGGGATACCCGGAGGGGGTAAACTCCTTTCTGCTCCCTACAGCATGTCTATCTGCTCACTCCCTATTTCCCAGACAGCTTCCTGTCTGTGAAATACACGGGGGAAGAGGGAACAACCTTGGGCAGGTATTGAGCTCTGGTGAAGTTTTTTCAAGATGTGTTTTTAAAGCCTCTTGGAAAGAGCCCTCTGACAAGACTTAGACTTTATTAGCTTTAAACAAGACAGGGAAGAGACATTTTGTTTTTTTCCTGACAACTTTATAAGCGCTTCAGCAGGACTGGGTAAGATACCATTTGCCTACAATCTGCTTTATCCTTCTGGTCTTCAACTAGTGCCCATTTGCATAGTTGTGGCAAAACATGCTGAAGCTTATTCCACTTACTGTCAATTTCTCTAAACAGAATTCGCCATTTTGTTAAACTTCTGGACAAACCACTTCTTTCTCACAGCTAATCACCTCAACCCCTCCCTCCTTTTCAGGGCAATCGCCCTTTTCTGATTGGCTCAGGAATAAGGAGCTGCTTTTTACCACCCAACAGAAAAACAGACTTGAAGGGGTTGGGAGACTTCCCATGTATTCTGTGAAGTTCCTGGGGGACCCGACCTGTAATTGGGTGCTGAAGTGATTGAGCCGTACAGCAACACAAATATTTCCCCACATTTGAACAAGACAAGCAAAAGACGAACGAATGGAATGCCCATCTCAAGTCAAACTACGTTTGGCTTTGTTTCTGAAAGTTATTAGCAGCATATGGCTAAGAAGCTGTCTTCATTTACTTTAATAACATCTGCTTCCCCCCCCCCCCCCTTCTTAGTACAGCAACCCTTGCTTGTGTGTAATTTCATACTAGTCTGGCATGTCCACTGTAGTGGGATGGACACCCGCTCCTGCCTGGCAGGGGAGACCCTGAGAGAAAGGGGTTACTGCTAGGGGGCAGCACCCCAGCTAACACCTCTGCCTGTATAGGGAGATGGGCCTGGCTGTAGGGAGCTAGAGACAGGGCCCTGAGTGGAGCAGGGCTGGGGAAAGGCAGAGGAGCTGGGGAGCTCCAGCCTGGAAAGCCCCAGGCTGCGGCCTAGCATTGGGCTAATAGGTACTGGGGGTTGCAGAGGGCAGCCCAGGGATAGGCAAAGGCAGCAGGTCCAAACCCTCCTTGCCAGTGATGAGTGGCTGATACTGCAGTCTGCCCCAGGGCGTGGGGCTAGATGGTGACTGGCAGTAGCCTTACACTGGGGCGAGGTGGGGTTAGTGGGTGGGGAGACCCAGAATGTGGGAGTACTGCAAGGGGGGCAGCAACTTGGAGAAAGGGACACTGGGGTCCTGGGAGGGACACGGGGGCCAGCGGTAAGGCGGATCACCGGCCTGCAGAGGGCACTCCAAGGCTGGCAGAGCTAATTCCCATGGACGACCAGCAGGAGGCGCTGCAGGGGTGAATCCACTCCCTTACACCACATTTTCAAAAACTGAAGAAACAGCATGCAAGTTTGTCCTGTGATTTTTAAAATGCTTTCAATAAGGTAGAGGAGAGAATCTTCCAGGCCCAGAGCCTCTTCCCAACTGACCCCAAAAGTGGTGCTTGGTTAAACAGAAATGCCGGACAAATGCTGCCTTCCCAGTTGGTCAGTGGCCTCTGTAAGCTCATACCCATGCTTTGGCAAGGCTGTGTTTGAGACAGAGAGAGCTAAAGATAAAATTATTTTCCATCCGTCACACACACACACACACACACACACACACACTTCAACTAAGGAACACTCTGGTCCATTTTTCTCCCAGGATAAAGACTGGGAGAGCCATGGAATACATGAAATTAGCCAATTGTTTACTGGCATCTTTTCTTAACACAGCTGGTCCACTTTCCCACAGTACCAGTACCTTCAGGTCAGACAGTGTGGTCTCGCAACATTTTTAGAGAATTTGTTTTATAAGAAAGGCAGTAAAACTGAATAGGAGAGAGGGCTTCTGGACTAAAAGGAAACAAAGAATTAACTAGTTTATACTTGGCTTTTGCAAACAACTTTGCTAAGAAGAATGCGTCCATAAGAGGGAATAGATTTGGGTATTCTTTCCTCCAGAGGAGTGGGTTTTGGTTTTGGACTGAGGTGTGAACAGGCAACCCCAATTTGTACTAAAATAAGAGTTTTTTTGAGCTACTGTTTGAATGGTACCTTAAACCAGAAAGGTTAAAATACAGACATACACACAGAGTGGGGAAAGATATTGATGAAATTATGTGGGGGGAGTGCCTATATGGTGGACATGTTCAATTATTAAATAGTATTAGGGTGCAATTGTAACCAAGTATTACAATTGTTGAACATTTATTAACACATATTCCTTTTAAACCACTCCCTCTAGGGAGCCCTTAAGCAGATTACCAAGAACAAATCTTTCATTTATTAATAGCTCCTAGACTATTGGTAATTTCTCACTGGTAACAGGGTTGGCAGGGGTGAGGACTGGCTCTGAGAAATACTGGAAGTTGTTGACGTTATGTACACAGCCCAGCAGACAGAGGACTAATAGATAGGTAGGTAGGTAGTAAGTATTTATTCAATACGTTTGCCCACAAAAGCCACTGCATTTGACAAATTTCTCTGAATGGTAGCACATATGAGGACTTGCTTTGGTTTGTTAATTAGTAAAGACAGAATTCTCAGGTTAGGATGTTCCCAGAAACACTGAACATGCATGACAACTATGCTGTTGCCTAATGATACTCTAAACAAGAGATGAGTTCATAGTGAATCATGTTGTACTTTGGTAACATATTTGGTGATGATCTGTAAAGTTGTTTACATTTCCTAAATAAACAAGTTAAAAAAATTAGGCGTGTTGGATTTCCTGATAAAAACAAAGATAAAATTCAGCAAGAGCCTTGGAGAAATTACTCATCGTCTGGACTTGAATTCTGTTCATTTAGTTTTTCTGCCCACTTCAAAATCTGCTTCTGAACAGATTCTTGCAGAATTTTGGTGATCAAAGACTCCTCCTTTTAACTAAAAATGGCATCCTAACGACAGCCCATGATCTGGAAGGTTTAAACTTACCAAGATGCAAGGAGTAGCATCTCCTCAGACTAGACTGCCTCTCACTCCTGAAATAAAGGCAAGGATTTGTAGTAATCCAAACAAGAACTGAGAGAAATGGGCATCTCCACTATAGTTCTTTACTCTGCTTGGCCCAGGGCTAGCTGGGGAGGAGGCGAATGTCCTTACTACCGAACAGGAGGCTGACCCCTAGATATTACTTCTTGCTGCTGCATCCAGAAAATAAAATGGTGAGTGGAGTTTTTCCAATACAAACAGAGAAAAAAGTTTAGCTTGAGTGTTCAGCCTAGAATAGCTAAATTAAATCTTAGGTAATTGTAGCTACAGATATAGAATCATCCAGAAACACTTTACGTGTACATGCAGTGAATATCAAAAGAATTGGCAATGATTTGATTCATACAGTGTTAGAAAGTGTGGTTAAAATTACTCACATTGTACAGCTGGCAGAAATAGGAGCTGTGAGACTTACTGTACAGACTCCTGGAGAAATACTGAACGTGTCTGGCACACAACTTTTACAGTCACGTGATAGCGTCCCCATTGAAACAGAGAGGAAGGCAGTGCTACATGCTACAGGATTGCAGTCACATCAGTGCTGACACAAGGGGTCCAATTCTCATTCAGAGCAAGGCTCCTTTACGCTGCAAATTAGGTCAACATGCACTTTTAAGCACCTTTACATCAGTACTCTGTAAGGTAGCTTCAATGTAACAGAGAATCAGGCTCTGTATGTCCTTCAAGCCGTGGAAAAAGCACTTACCTGTTTCTGAAGGTTTCTGTGTTTCTGACCCACCAAACAGAAATTCATATCTGGCCTTGGCAACACTCTGGGAATGAGCCAATACATCGTTAACCCAAACAAACGCTTCTGCCTGTAGAGTCAACACAAAAACAGGGTTAGTCTTTCACTTAAAACGGGGAATGTTAATACTGAATCATTCTGCATGTCATCGACTAGGGATTTTCAAAATCACTTTGCACAGAGCAAACCCTTCCGCCTCTGAAGTCAATGGGAGGAGAGTCAGGCCAAGGCTAAGCACTTTTGAGAAGTCCATCTCTAAGTCTTACGGTCAAGATTTTCAGGAGTGAGCAGTGATTTTGGGGCCCCAACTTGCAGCACCTTAAGGGGCTTAGTTAACAGAGGGTGGGTACTCAGCAAAGTCAGTGACCACTTTCAAAGGACCTCGGCCTATGCATATAGCTTTAGGCACCCAGGTTTGAAAACCGGACCCCAAGTCACTGTAGGAACAAATACTGAAAGGCACATTAAAATCTTCTTTAAAAATTACCATTTCCCAATTGAGGAGCACGCTCAAGTTTTTCAAGATGAATTCTGCAACACTGAATAAATAGTACCTTCTATACTAGGTGATATTTCTTTGTAGTAAGTTTTGGGCACTGGATTTCTTCTGTCATGGGTGACTGTCCATGTAACAGAATTATAAGCAATGGGGGAAAGAGAGAAATGATCAACTATAAAGAATACTGATTAGTAAGTTTTGCTCCCAAATCTCTTTCCACTTTGGGAGCATTACCGCCTGGAAGACTTAGGCATAAAAGGTGCACACTAAGAAAAGGTCTGACTAAGAGTTCAAAATGTACTCCATATTAAAAGAAGGCCTTGTTTTGTGGAGAAGTTAGTGTCGCAATCTACTGAACAAGCAGGATTACAGCTTGCGAAAGGTGGGTCCTCGCTAAGGGCTCACGAAAGACTTAGAAACACAAACTTCATGATAAGGATCTATATTGCTGGGGCTATTTAATCACAGAATCTAGAGATGGAGATGGCCTTTCGGGTGGAATCCTGGCCCCCCCTGAAGTCAATGGAAGTTTTGCAGCTGACTTCAGCAGGTTCAGGATTTCACCCATTATGTTTTCTGCAATGGATGGATGGGCAGATGAGCACCTCACCCCCCATTCCCAAACAGCTGCTGCAGTCTTCCCTGGCCACTCCTCCCCTCCCCCACCCCTAACTTTCTTCTGCTGAGCCACCTTTGCTGAATTTGGCTCAGCATTTTGATGGTTGGTGTATAAAATCCTACACAGAGTCATGAGTATTTGGACAGTAAAAAGAACAAGGGTCTCAAGAGAGAAGCCTTTTAGGAGACCTGATCCATCAGGATAGCTATTAACAGTGAACCTCCTGAAGCTGCCCGATCAAGTCAGATGCATACTACGCCCAGCTACAACAGTGTATAACAAAAGATTGGTCCAAACGATTAAACAAGCTGTGCATTCTTCATAAGGAAGCTACTTGGATTAGACATGCTTCTCATTGTACACTTGTGGCATGCGCACAAATGAGGCCTCTTCACGTGTAGAGAAAAAAATGCATGTACCTGGTTTGACTTTCTAAAAGTGTAACAGTGGCTGCTTGAGCAACAGGTGCCAGTAGATCAATAGGTGATGAAAGTCAAAGTCTTTAAACCAGCATATTCGCTCTTCACTACCCTAAGGAGTTAGATGGGATCCTACCCATACAGAACCGGTATCAAATTGTGCCATGCTGTCAGGAAAGAAATTCTTGTTCCAGTTCACTACACCCTAAGCATCATCCAACAAGAGCCAGAAATTCCTGTCATTTTAATTTATAGGCTAAGATTTATAAAAGTGGCTGCCTAAAATTAGACTAAAATCTTCCTTCAGATTCCTAAAAAAACCAGCAGAGTGCTCAACATTCTTGGAAACAATATGGGCACTTACTCAGGTGTCTAAGTATAGACTTGGGCTACAATTCTTATTTACTAGGGCTGTCAATTAGTCGCAATTAACTCACGCAATTAACTCAAAAAAATTAATCGCAATTAATTGCAATGTTAAACAACAGAATACCAACTGAAATTTACTAAATATTTGTGGATGTTTTTCTACATTTTCAAATATATTGATTTCTATTACAACACAGAACACAAAGTGTACAGTGCTCACTTTATATTATTTTTATTACAAACATTTGCACTGTAAACATGATAAACAAAAGAAATAATATTTTTCAGTTCACCTCATACAAGTACTGTAGTGCAATCTCTTTATCCTGAAAGTGTAACTTACAAATGTAGATTTTTATTACATAACTGCACTCAAAAACAAAACAATGTAAAACTTCAGAGCCCACACCTCCACTCAGTCCTACTTCTTGTTCAGCCAATCACTAAGACAAACAAGTTTGTTTACATTTATGGGAGATACTCCTGCTGCTTATTTACAATGTCACCTGAAAGTGAGAACAGGCGTTTGTAGCCGGCGTTGCAAGGTATTTGCATGCCAGATATGCTAAACATTCGTATGCCCCTTCATGCTTTGGCCACCTGCTTCCATGCTGATGATGCTCGTTAAAAAAATAGTGCATTAATCAAATTTCTCTCCTTGGGGGAGAACTGTAGGTCTCTGCTCTGTTTTACCCACATTCTGCCATATATTTCATGTTATAGCAGTTTTGGATGATCACCCAGCACATGTTGTTCATTTTAAGAACACTTTCACAGCAGATCTGACAAAACGCAAAGAAGGTACCAAT